ATATATATATAAATCTAAATAAGTAAGGAAAATAAATAAAAACACGTTCTAGAATGTACTAGTATCTTAATACACCACACAACGGAATATATATATATATATATATATTGTGATCGGCCTAGGGGCCCTAGGACCCGTCAGAGTCGGCCTATGGACCCTAGGTGCCGTAGTACCGAACTTTCAGATTAGATTCTTTGGACACGTGTCATAATTAGAATTCTGTGAACCAAATTATTAGACTGACAAACTATGAACTATATAGATCTGGGCCCAGGCTTAGAATCTAATCTTTACACCAACATAATAATATACTACTATTAAACGAAGTGTGTATCTAACTAGCTGTGAGATCCTTAACTCACAATAGTAATAAATCGTTGGTGTGCTAGTTAGCTATTAATTAATTCAAACCTGGTCAAGATGTCCACGCGATCTCCGCGTCACTTGTTGCATGGCAACAAAAGTGACGATTTTTACGCCTGGATGGCATCGAGCAGTCGCGCGGTGTCGTCGCCTGCATTCACCAATCTTGGTGATAATCAGGCTGAAGCGAAAGAGCATATGCTGAGCTTATATTTTAGCCCAGAGTTTTATAGCTTAGTGCAACGAGATACGCTGCCAGGCATGCGGGGCAACCACATGTGGTGCATGCGGGTGAATGGCGGCACCTTAGTAGGGATACGTCACATTCAGCAGTGGCGGCTTTCACAGCACGTGCGAAAGGATCCAGAGATTACTTTCCATGCGCTCGACGAGCTATTGACGTACATGGCCGTTCGAGCATTGCTGAAAGTATTTTTAGCCGAGTCACGCGATGCGCAGACTGCGGCGGCTACAGTGGAGTTTTCTGCGGACAATTTTGTGGCATCTTTCAGGGATACGATGGTAGCCCAGAATGAGAGCTTCTTAGGGGAGCCAGGTGTTACTCCATTTCGCGCAACGTTGTGGAAACTCACATTCCTAGTGCGGGTGTTGTGACAGCTCGAGATCGCACGGCTGTGCTTTTGGCAGGGCAACGAGATGGAGACCTGCATACGCCCAATGATGGTGGACGGCCGGGGCATCAGATGCGTCGGCAGACCCAGACCCACCTATTTTGTCGAGGCCATTAGGGCGCTCGGATCCTGCGGCAACTCAACCAGACTCTGGGATGCCAGGAACCGCAACAGGGGGTGGGGATGCCCCGCAAACTGTCGCTGAGAAGGCGCATTTGGCGAAATTTCAGCAGGACGAGGCAGTGCGGCAACAGGTGCGAGAGGAAGCACGTTGAGTGATGGCGGAAGAAGCGCGTCGGTTCTACGCGGAGTGTTTGGAGGCGGCGAGTACTTCGGGATCTTCAGCTCAGGGCTCCACGACAGAGAGTTCATCTACATCCTCATCGAGATCACTAGATGAGATCCCTTTGGTCTATCGGGCATCACGAGCCGTTGATTTAGCGGTGCTTTGCCTGTCAACAGGCATGCATGAGAAGGTGTCTCGTTTCTGTATGGTGCTGAGGAATGGTTCCAACAAAGCTTATGCTGCCCTCGCTATGGTGGACGACAACATAAGTAAGTTATTGTTAGCGCAGGCTATTGCTGAGCCTGCGCTATTAGAGAAAGTTGTGATCGAGGTGAATGAACAGATTGCGACTGTTGAATTATTGTTTTCTTTGATTTTCAAGAACACGCAGCATGTTCTCTCTGTGTCGGGTTTTGCCGAGCAAGGCCCGCCACGCTTGCTCAGTTGGCTCCAGCAGTCATGGGCGCTTTATTGTGCAACTTTGTTCGATTTCTTCAAGATTGAGGACGGGATTGGTACTAAGGTGCGCCCGTAAGGGTACCCCGCAGCCGAAGCACCCGCAGAATGGCAACAACCAGCAGGCGGGTAATGGTGGCAACCAAGGAGGCCGTAATGGCAATGGGGGCGGTGGGCAACAGCAGCCTACAGCCGCCCAGAAGCAAATGCGGCAATCGCAGCTGAATTATTTTATTCGCAAAGCTCGCCAGGATCGTAAGAAACAGGTGAAGGAAGAGCGCGACGAAAACCGGCGTTCAACGTCCCGCTCCAGATCCCCTCGGGAACGTACACCTGAGAATTGTCACACCAAGGATAAGGATGGGCGTTATTCAAAGCCCTGGAAACGAAGGGGTCGTCATTCAGAATCGGAAGATGCTGCCGCGGGCGTTCCCACTCACGCTCTAGTAAGGACAGGCGTGGGAAAAAGCATTCGCGTTCGCACAGTCGTGATCGTGGGCGTGACCAGCAGAGAGGAAGTCGTGGGGGTAAGCGTGCATATTCCGAGTCTTCAGAGTCGGAAGGGGAGATGTATTGTACGGTCTGCGATAATACTACCCACACGGCAGCAGAATGCCCTAGGTATGGAGGGTCGGCAGGGGCGGCTTCAACAAAAATTCCGCGTCGCAAGTGAAATGGGGCGGTGGTTCCTGCCATGGTTGGTGCTGTGAGCACTTGGCGGTATGCAGATTCTGGTTGCACATTCATCCTTGTTACGAATCGCATGCTTGAAACGCTCGGCGCAACAGCTAAGACCAGGTATGGAGGGCCACCACTCCAAGGCATTGATGGCATGGGAACTTTATCGCCCAAGTACTCGGTGCCGTGGGATGACTTAGAAGCGTATATGGTCATCCTTGGGGGGGCGTATGCGTTAGCAGAAGGTTACCCCTTCAATGTGGTGGACGATATACCAATGGGTTGTGATATCCTCATTGGGTATGATCAGATGCGTCACTGTAGCTGGGCTCTTATGTGGCGAGAAGATGAATTAGTCTTGGTACCCCAGTCAGCCATTAAGTGGTCGTGGCTCAAGGACACGAATGTTCTGTTGAGTCCACAGGTCAAGCTTTTGCTTGGTTTTCGGCAGCCAAAGCCCCGTGCCCGAGGTAAGAAGGCGATGAAGAAGCGACATAAACCACGTCGAAATGTACAGCGTCTGGGTGGGGGAGCCAATGAGCGTCAAGACCATGCTATGAATAGTGATGACTCTGCTGAGCCCTCTCAACCGCAGCAATATAGCGGTGTGGACTCGGCGTCGGAAGTGTTTACGGATGATGACGAGTGATAGAATGTCGGATTCGGACATTTCCAGTGACGATAATATAGCGTGGCCCACCATGGGGCATCGCCCACCGAAGCCTGCTTCTTTGGTGCGTTCGGCCCGGGCGACTAAGCCTGAGCCAGGCAGCGACAGCAGTGAGCAATCATGCTGGAGTTTGCTGTCCGATTCATCGGACGACTCTGATTCTGATCATAGGTCAGTAAACCCTAAAACAAGCGCACCTATCCGGTTAGGAGATTGAAGACGGCAGCTCGTAGTGAACAGGCTTTGCAAGCCACTCCTACGAAAGTCTGCCATGTCGCAACCTCCGACCGTCTCTGATAGTAGTGTACCCGTGAGTGGGACTACTTCAACCGAGAAAAAGACGTGGACTCACAATCGGCGTATCGAGAGATCAACGCAGGCGGTGGCTAAAGGACCTAAGTCCTCTATAACCCTGCCTCCGAATGGCTCTCCTGGGGTGTCCTCTACAGGAGGCGCTTCCAAGGTAGAATCCCAGGATCTTCGTGCCTTGCTGTTAGCAAGAGCGGAACAAAGGCGGAAGGCGTGGGGAACACATTGAGCAAAAAAGTATTCCTGCCAATGTCCTCCCGCAGGCAAAAGATGTGGAAGGGGTATTCCTCCCTCGTTTGCCCGACTTGGTCAACCGAATAGACCTACCGAATCATGCGCTTGATGATTTGGATAAGCCTGAAATTGAGGACTGTGACTTGCGTGACAACAAGTGCCTGGAATTTGACAGGTATGGGTTGCGGCAGCTGGCTAAGGAGGAGAACAAGTCGGACGCCGACCTCGCACGGCTGGAAGCGCTTGTCGAGGGCCGAGCCTATGACAAGCAGAGGCATCGGTTTATGAAGGTTGATCCTATCAAACTGTACCCTGTTGAGGGTGAACCGCCAGCCAGGGGCCGTAGTCAGGAGAATCTCCCTTTAGATCATCCTGAGATGGTGGCTATAAAGGGCAAGATTGATGATCTTGTCAAGCAGAGTATCATTGCTAAGCAAGAGAATGAAGATATTCTCTGGTCGGCGAAGTCGCTCATGTCATTGCTAAGCAAGAGAATGAAGATATTCTCTGGTCGGCGAAGTCGCTCATGGTTCCCAATAATCCTCGGGTTACCCCTCAAACCAAGGATGATTGGAAATATTGTGCGCAAAGTTGAAGCAAGAACCGTTTAACATCCCTACTGAAGGAGAGATGTTCGGGCATGTCGCGGGGAAGCCGTGGGTGTCTGTTGTTAGTTGTGGAAATGGTTTCAACCAGCTGCCGCTGGAGAAGAAGAGCCAAGATATTTTGACTTTTTGGACCCCGTGGGGCCGATACAAGTATTTAGCTCTACCTTTTGGCATTACCGAGGCATCGTGGCGATTCCAAGAGACCCTGGATCGTCTGTTCGATGGTTTACAAGGTATCAAGTGGTATATCGACGATATCGTGATATCCTCGGTGGATGCATCTGAGCATTGGGATCACCTCATTACTTTCTTTGAGCGCTGTGACAAATGTGATATTCAATTTGGCCTTTCCAAGGCGCGAATCGGGTATAATAAGCGTCCAGTGAAGATCTTAGGGCGCTGGTGCAATCATCAGGGCGTCACAATCTCAGCTGATCGGTTAGCGGCTCTGCTTGAGGTTGACCGTCCTGACAACCAGGATCGTGTCCGGTCTTGGTACCACACGGTGGCGTTCTGACAGCGTTATATCGACGGTTTCTCCAAGATTTTGAAACCCGTCTCGGCCTTGCTCAAGGAGGGGGCGAAGTTCAAGTGGGGTGCTGACCAACAGGCTGCGTTTGATTTGATCAACGAGCGGTTAAAGACACGTGCAGTCCTGGCTACGCCGGAACCGGGTGAACGACTTTACCAGTTCGCTGATGCTTGTGAGCATATTGGCCTTGGCGGGGCCATCTATGTGCTGAGAAATGGGGAACTTTGGCCAGTGGCATATTTTTCCTCCAAGTTCTCGCCAGCCCAGCTTAACTATTATGTCACTGACAAGGAATGGCTTGCGCAGGTTTATGGTCTCCGTAAGTATTGGGCGGTGTTTGGTAACACTCACCACCCTATTACAATCTTCACGGACCATCAAGCACTCTTGATCCTGTGGCATCGTGAGTTCTTTGCAGACGACCCTCGTGGCCGACGGCAAGCGCGTTGGCAAGAGGTCTGTCGGGATCGTGACGTTTATCTCTTGCACGTGCGAGGCAAGGATAATGGCACAGCAGATATGCCGAGCCGCCTTGCTACCAAGGTCGATCCGTGGATGGATCCCGTTGGGGCGCACACTGCTACCCCCAGGCGACGGGTCACGTGGCGGTACCTGGTCGCTCGCCAAGGTCCTCCCCACAGCAATCAGTACATGGCTAACAGGAAGTACTTCAAAGTGGCTGACAAGGCTTGGGGTCCGCATACCGATGACGGGTTTGCTCTCCCGGCAATAACCATTGGCCGAATTATTTTCCCCCTTTTTTGGAAGGTGGAGCGTTTTCCCAATTGTGGACGTTCCTCAACTTGTGGGTCAACTGCCCGTGTAGTATTTGGCGTGTATTTGCTAAGGTTATTGTGGATGAAGCGGACATCACGTTGATGTGCCCTTATCTCCCTGACGCTCCGTGGTTCCAGCCCATGTTGTCGTTGTTATCACGGGAACCCATTATTATCCCGCCGGAGAAAGGTGTTTTCTTCCGGTATGGGCATGAAGAAATGCTGCGGCCGCGCTGGGGTCCTACGCTGTTGTGCCGTTTGTTGGCCAAGGGTGCCAAGTATCAGGTGCCTAAGGACTTTTGGCGTCAGTGTGATGCCTTCGTTCCTGGTGGGGTAGCAGGTGGTGCCACTCCCTCGGTGCTCCGAACTAGTCCGCGGACAGTTGCCCCTCAACCCACTCCGGTGGAGTCGGCAGCGCTTGAGTGTCAGGCGGCACAAGCCATCGAGCCTAAGCGCACGATGCCTGATCGCCGTGTGCGTCGGGCTAGTGCTCGCCACGAGCAGGTCCAGGATGCCGTGCAGCGGGACTTACCTCAGTCCAAGAAGGAGGTCGAATCTGCTGTCAAGACAGCGATGGAGGGCTATTCTCCGTATCGTATTCGTGGTTTTGTTCTCTCGTGGCCAGAGGTCCACAATGTGATTGCTGCCACGCGCAAGGTATATATGCACGCGGGTAGCGATAAGCTCGTGGGTAAGTTGTACGCGCTGTATGGTTGGAACGGCTTGCGTTCGCTGGCCCGAGTGATCAAGCGGTCGTGTCACCGATGTCAGCTTCGTATTCCTCATGGTACGCAAGAGTTGGGGTTGCTTCAACAGCCCAAGTGCGCGCGTGGTCTGTTTGATCATGTCTTCATGGATTTTGCGTCCCTACTCAAGACCTCAACTGGGTATACACATCTCCTGCTTGTCGTGAACAGAGCCACCTCGATGGTTCTGGTGAAACCATCCCGTTCTAAGAGTGCACGGAAGGCCATTAAGTTCCTCAACGAGGTTGTTCACCCGTGGGGTCAACCCAAGCTATACACATGTGACAAGGACTCAGTGTTTATGGCTAAGGAGTTTACTGAGTTTGCACAGCAGTCGGGCGGTGAGGTGCATGATTTTACTACTGATCATCACCAGGCCAATGGCGCAGCCAAAGCCATGGTAAAAGAGTCTATGACTGCCAAAGATGAGGGCGATTGGGTCCCCTGGTGTTACAGGTTTTGCAACTGTTATAACGCTGCGACCACAGCCACTCAGGGTTTTGCTCCGTACACTACGGCTACAAACCGTGTGTATGATGGCGAGCGTGAGTTCAAGCTGGAGGCGGACGTGCGTCGCCTGCAGGCTACCGAGGACTCGGCCCGTGCCCTAGTCCGTGATGATGCTGCCTTTCAGCGTACCCAGCGTGCCAAGAAAAGCGCAAAGGGCGAGGGCGAATAAGGTCCGCAAACCTGCCCCCGACCTTGCTCTCAAGTTCAAGACTTCCCCGAATCGCCCGAAGGCTGACGATAAGTGGAAGGGTCCCTGCTACTATTCGCTCGCAGGATAGCCCGGTGACATACACTATCTTGTTCCGGGGCAAGGAGGTGCGTCGGCACAGAACGCAGCTCCGACCGTACATCTCCCCTATCTCTCCAATTATTGGGCAAGATGTGGATTTGGTGTTTTCTGGAGAGTATGAGCAGTGGCTTTTCATGCGCTCTCATTTCCGCACGGCTCCGATTGAAGAGCGACGGGCGGTGTTGCACCACCTCCGGCACACGGAGAAAGGCCAGACGTGGAAGGGGTTAATTAACTCTGCCTTTGGTCTTCTACAGAAGGCGTACACCCGCAAGGATAGGCGGGTCAAGTCCATCTGTCTTCTGCGGCTCGAAAATTTCTTGCCAAAGAATGGAAGCAGCTCTCCCCCGGAACGCTGCAGTCGCGCATGTCCCTGGTAGGGTCTGCGTTGGCATTTGCCCAGGTCCCCTCATTCCGTTCTGAAAAGGTCAAGGAATGGGCGGATAAGGTAAACAATAGGGCGCATACACCAATCTTGGCTGCAGCCTCCGTTGGTCAGCCGCAGCAGTTTCAGCGAGTGAAGTTGCCTGCCGGCTTGCCGAAAGCTTGGACTTCCGCTCGTGCCGCTGCCAAGTGCCACTCCTCGGCAAAAAAGGTGCAGGTATAGAAGCTGACCGATGAGTTGCACAAGGTGAAACAAGGCAGTCTCTCCCGGTGCATGACTGCAGCACCTCTAATGAAGCTGAGCTCATCCACTTCAAAGCCCCCTGCTTCAGATCTACCGCCAGACGTCCTCCACAGCGTGGTCACGGCCGAACCATCACCCACCGAGACTCTCAAAGCGTTGCACACTCTGAAATTGCTTTCCAGGTTCTTGACACGCTCAGTCGTTGCGCTCAGTGCCTTCGCCGCCAGCTTCTTCTCGTCCAGCTGTAGTTTCATCGCTTCAATATAGGCGGCCAATCTGATATCCAACCCCTCTCTGGTAGATGTTAGGTTGCTTATCTGGCTCATGTACGTTGTTTGGCTAGCGCCGCACTCGACTTTCAGTGCATCATACGCTTCCTGTGTGGTGCCATACTTGGTTTGCAAGGCTGTAAACCCTAAAAACACACATACATGCATACATACATACATACATACATACATACATACATACAAATATATATATATATACATACATACATACATACATACATACATACATACATACATATATGCATTCATCGATACATACATACATACATACATAATACATACATACATACATACACACATACATACATACATACATACATACATACATACATACATACATACATACATACATACATACATACATACATACATACATACATACATACATACATACATACATACATACATACGTTTTACATGGTGTCCACCGGGGGTGTCCCGTCATCGCTGTCTGCACTTTCAGCAGCGTCAAGGGTTGCTTTGCACTAACCTGTGCCTCGTCCGTGATTGTCGTGACAGCAGTGAAAATCTCGAAATCTGCTACCTTGACGGTGTGACTCCAAGTTGACTTTGTTCCTATGTCTGTTGGAATGGGAAGGGTAGGTCTATACGACTGCGCGTATCTCCAGCCACCGTATGTGTCGACTGAAACGTCGACATGGATGGAAGGTGGCCCTGATGTTGCCGAAAATGCAGACAGAGAGGACGAGATATTCCTGGCGGTCACACCGATGTTTCTTAACCCTATTAACTATGGGAAAAAGGCAGCTGGCAAACCGACAGTGTTCAGTTATTTACCTCTAGTTCTAAAGTCTGGGCACCCGAAACAGACATTACTGACAAAAATTGAACCAAAAGCACAAATCTTACTTCAAAAAAGAATAAAGACAAGTGGATAT